CTGAGATTCCATGATTCTATGAGAAAAGCCTCCTTGCTTGCTCTGCTAGGATAAAAAAGAAAATCAGTTTATAAATCAGCCCAGTGGGGCTTGTTTGCTAGTCATAAGCAAGCAAAAAGGAAAAGAAGCCAGGCAGAACTAAATTGCTTTCCCTGCCGTTGCTGCTCCTGGAGCCCAGCTCTCCAGGAGGCTTGAGTGGGCTGGCTGTGGGTGGCCTCCAGAGCACAGGGTGAGTGGCTGCACCCCACGGGTGTTTCGGGGATGTTCGAGAATCTCGACTTTCCCTGATCACAGAGGGGGCTGAGACCAGGGTTGTTGGCCTTTAACTTGTGTCAGGGCCATTGCCACAGCTGGGGACTTCCCTGTGCATGGCCCTTGGAGCTCCTGAAGACCCTGTGCCCACCAGCAGCAGTGTGCTGGCAGGGACATGCCAGGTGTCAGTCCCCCCCCAGCCCTGAGGGGAGGCACAAGCTTTCCAGCGAGGTGTGAGCTTTCCATATGCCGTGGTCATGCACGGAGCCCGGCAGTGGTGCTCAGATGTTTACCAGCCTCATGGTTTATTTTGGGCTTGCTGCAAGGCTGCAAACCACTTCCCATGTGTGGGGGCTGTTTGTAGGTTAGGGCGCTCTGCAGGTCCTGCTCCCCGTGATGTTGAGGGTTTTGCTACCCCAGATGGGCTTGTGCTCTTTAAAAGGGCCATTGTCTGGCTGCCTGGGCCAGCTCTGGCTCTGCCTGGCACAAGCATTCCCTGAGGCAGAAGGGAGGGCTCAAGGAGTTCTGCCATAACCCCACAGCCTCCCTGTGCGGCCTCCTGCATCCCTCTGGACTGTTCGTGGACGTGCAGCCACGGGAGGGACTTGCTGTAGATGGTTTGCTGGTGAGAGCAGGGAGAAAGAGGGGATCTCGGCTCTGTCTGGGATCACCTTTGCCCCAGGCTGCGAGTGGAGGGACAAGGCTGCAGTCCCCAGGGCACCCTATGCCCCAGAGCTCCCATCCGCTTGTGGGCTTATGGGCAAGAGGAGAAAATGGCCAGCAGGAGTGACTGGAATGGGGTAATAGCCCTTTACAGGGTCCAAGGTCCTTCTGATGGTGCTACAGTGCCAGGCTGGGATGGTGCAGCAATCATGGGTGAGTGGAGGCTTCTCCATCAGCCTGGGCAGAGCCCTCACCATTGCAGTAGCAAACTGCCCTGCTTCCCCCTGCCCTGGGGTATGTGCCTTGTGGCTCTTGGAGAGAGCAGGATTTGGGGTGGGGGGGGGGAGGTTGAAGGAGCCCTAGAGCCTCTGGGCTAATCCTTGTCACCATCTATCACAGGGGACAAAGACTCAACACCCACTACAACATCATTCCCTAAAGTCTTCCTGTTTGAATAATTTAAGCTTTCTTTTTCTACCCTGCTTGCACCAAAACAAATCTCATGCCCCAGTCTGGGTGAGGCTAACATGATAAAAATGGCTCATTTCCAGGAGTAATAAAGGAAGCTTGACAGTGATCGGCTTGCCCAGACTGTGGGAACTGTGACAGCAGAGGGCTCTGGGATTTGACAGAGAAGCAAAAAGCAGCGTACAGAAGCAGAAAGATGAAAGCAGAAGCTGGCCTCAGAGGCTGTTGAGGGTGCCTTGCTCTGGGAGTCCCATGGCCGGGGAGAGGTGCCCCCCTGCCAGAAGGCTCCTCAGCATTGCAGGGGAAACAACATCACAGCTGACAAAAGGCAGTTTTGTCAGCACTAAACAGTCTGTGCCGATGACACAACCAAGCAACTGCAGCTGCAGCAGCTCCTTGCAGATGCTCCTCCAGCTCTGTCAGATTCATTAGCAGTAAATGACGTCTCCTTTCCTTCCATTGACCATCTCAGGGCTGCCAGATGGAGGATGGAGCTGCCTGATGCAGATCACACTGCACGCCCCATCACACCTCCCCTCCACACCAGTGCTTCGTGTGCTGCTGGCCCTGTGGTTGCTCCTCGCAGGCGGCAGGCTGGGGAGCAGAAGTTGTGAAGTTCCCATGAGCAAAGCCACCCCTGGCTGGTGTTAGCCACAAAGCTGTCGTTCTGCAGCCACAAACCTTCTCACCCGGCAATGCATCTTGCATTTGTTCCCTGTGCACATGCTAGCACAGAGGAACATGAAACTGCCACTGTTGGTTTCTGCATGATTAATTTCCATGGCAAGAAGCCACAATTTGGTTTTGCTTGGCAGCAGTTCACCAAGAGCTGGAGGCACTTCTTGTTCCGTCATACACCTCTGTCCAGAGCTGCTCAGACGAACCCAGGAAAGCAGAGTTGGTTCTGCCAGGGCTTGCTACGAATCCAACAGAACTCAACACTTCTCCCCATACCTGTGTCAGGACTCAGAGAGTCTATGGCCCCAATAAAAGCACACGCTCAGCCACTCTCGTGATGTCTCTGCCCATTTGCATGGCGAGCTGGTGGCCTGCCACAGCCAACAGCACCAGTGTCCTGGGGTGTAACACAGCGTAAGACCATGCAGGGAAGCAGGAGTGCAGAAGAGATCCTCCCAGGGAGGGTAAGCATGGGGAGGACCAGAGCATCACTTGTCTCAGGGGCTTTGGACCTTCCTTCTGTCCCTGCCAGAGACAAGCCACTTGGTGAAGGTTGGTGACTCCACTGCTCTCACTTGCTGCTCCACGGTAGCTGAGCTGCGGTTTTGTACTTCTAGAGAGGAAAATGCAGGTCCAGGAGCTCACCCGCAGGCCTTGGCATCCTCTCTGCAGTGGAGGGGGGCTTCGACTCCAGCTGCATCCGCAGGGTGTTGCAGGATGTTGGGAAGCCCCAGGTCACCCTCTCCCTGATTTGCCCTGCTTCCTAGGTTGGAGCTGTCCTGATCTGGTGACCTGCTGAGGCTTGAAAGTCTCTCCCATGCCAGGCAGGTTCTCCACCATTTGTTTCTCACTTTTTTAGCCAGATAATCCATCTTGTACTCAAGGAAACTTTTGGAGGGCTTGGTTCAGGCTGGCAAAATATCTCAGGTGTGGGAAACCTCCTCTTGCAGTGAACTCCATGTTCCTCTGGGGACTGAGGTTGAGGTGGCAAAAGACCTTCTTGCCTGAAAAGACCCTCCAAAGCAAAGTGAGACCCTGTCATTTAGTTGCTTTATGGAGGCCTGTGACTGTTAAGGTGACTATGAGTAGTCAGATGCCTCACCAGCCTGGTGAGCCTGTGAAGATGAGATGTCTGGCAAGATGGATGAGGGTAGAGAGGTAAGGGGATGTTGATTGTTTTGACAGTAGTAAGGCTCCCATAGCATCTACATTGGCAAACTGATAAAGTATCACAGAATCCCAGACTGTTTTGAGTGGAAGGGACCTTAAACCTCATCCAGTCCCAACCCCTGCCACGGGCACGGACCCCTTCCACTAGAGCAGCTTGCTCCAAGCCCTTGTGTCCAACCTGGCCTTGAACACTGCCAGGGATGGGGCAGCCACAGCTTCTCTGGGCACCCTGTGCCAGCGCCTCAGCACCCTCACAGGGAAGAGCTTCTGCCTAAGAGCTCATCTCAGTCTCCCCTCTGGCAGGTTCAAGCCATTCCCCTTGGCCTGTCCCTACAGGCCCTTGTCCAAAGCTCCTCTCCAGGTTTCTTGCAGGCTGTGATCCAAGAGTTCTCTGATCCAAGTGCAGATTAGATAAATGGGAGTGAGAGGGGCTGAGAACTGGATGAACAGCTGGGCTTGGAGGGCTGTGATAAATGGTACATAGTCCAGCTGGAGGCTATTTGCCAGTGGGCAGCTCCAGGGATCAGTACTGGGGCCAGTACTCTTTAATATCTAAATGATCTGGATGTTGGGAGAAAGTGCCCCCTCACCAAATTTGCAGGTGATGCAAAGCTGGAAGGAGTGGCTGGCGCACTAGAGGAACATGCTGCTGCCCAGAGGGACCTTGTCAGGCTGGAGAAAAAAAATCATGAAGCTCAACAAAGTCCTGTCCCTGGTGCGGGATGCTCCTATGCACCAGCATGTGTTGGTGCTGACTAGCCGGAAAACAGTTTGACGTAACAGGACCCAGGAGTCCTGGTGGACACCAAATTAGACAGGAGCACAACTTGCCCTTGCCACAGAGAAGGCCAACAGGCTCCTGGGGTGCATTAGGAGCATTGCCAGCACAACAAGGGATGTGATTCTTCCCCTCTGCTCAGCACTGGTGAAGCTGCTCTTAGAGTGCTGGGTCCAGTTCTGGGCTCCCCAGCATAAGAGACATATGGACATATTGGAGAGAGTTCAGCAAAAGGCCACGGAAATTACTAAGGGACAGGAGCATCTCTCCTAGGAGGAAGGCTGTGAGAGCTGGGATTGTTCATCCCGGACAGCAGAGAGCTCCGGGAGATCTCATCAACATGTGTGTGGGAAGCAAAGAGGCAGAGCTCAACTCTTCTCAGTAGCGTGCAGTGACAGGACAAGAGGCAACAAGAAATTCTGTTTAAACACCAGAAAAAACTTTATTACTGAACACTGAAACAGTTTGCCCAGAGAGGCTGTGGAGTCCTGCAGATACTCAAAGCCCATTGGGACATGGTCCTGGGCAGCCTTCCCACTAACCCTGCTTGGAGCAGGGGCTGGACTGGCCGATCATCAGGGTGCCTCCAGCCCCAGCTCCTCACTGCTCCTCATTAAGCCCAGCACTGCAGGATGGGTAGGGGCAAAGCGCCTGCAGTCCTGCCACCTCTCAGCTCCATGTGCTGCAGTTTGACAGCCTTTGATAAGCACCCGACACAAAGAGCATGAGCACGTTTCGAAGCCTGCCCCTCTGGGGACATTTTTCCAGAGTTGCATAATCCTAGGCAAGCATTGTGTCTTTCTGCTATAACAGACTCACAGGGAAAAACCCTCCTTCCGATCAGATAAACAGTGCCATGCCACTTGGCACATTTTAGTTTCCTTTTGATTTCACAGAACAGAAAATGAACACTGAGTCAGAGCTCAGCAGACTTGGATCCAATGTGAACCAGATCCCATTCTTTATGATTTTTCTTTTTTTTTTTTTTTTTAAACCTGATTCCATTTGTCTGTTTCACTTTCGTGACATCCTTTCTCGTCATCCTGGAATTTCCACTTGGGATTCTGCCAGCTACCTCCAGAACTCCCTAATAAAAAGGGGCTGAATCCAGCTGCTGCAGTCTGAGCCTCATCTGCCAGAGCTTCTGGTCCTGCTCTGAGTGCCCTCACCTAAGGGAAGATGAAGGTCGCTGCAGCTGTTTTTGCTCTTCTCCTCATTGCAGCTTCTTGCTCCCAGACTTTCTCTGGTCCAGGTGAGTCCTGCTTTTTCATTTGTGAAGAACAGATCTGAGGTTTTGGTTTCATTCTCCATGGAGCTCCCCTGGCAGATGACTGGGAATTTTTCAGCATATGTACCAGTCTCCACTCTGCACTGAGCTCAGCTGCATGTAGGAACCCCAGAATTAGAAAATCATCCATCCATCCATCCATCCATCCATCCATCCATCCATCCATCCATCCATCTATTCATCCACACATCTGTTCATCCATCTGTTCTGGACTCAGGGTACTGGTTCCTGGTTGTAGTCTGGAGACTTCAGTCTCTGCCCTGGGGCTGGAAGAGGTGGAGAAATGAAGTTCGGAGAAATGAAGTTCTGAGCAATGACTGCATGGGAATCTCCCCCAGTACTCAACAGTACTGTTCCTGGCATTGGACCAGATGATCCCCAATGTCCATTTCAATTTTAATTATTCTCTAATTCCTCACTCCCTTCCCTACCAGCACAGCTCTATGAGCCGATGAGCTGGCTGTTCCTGATGCACAGCCCAGCACATGCTCACATCGTCTCTCCTTGCCTCTTGCAGTTGGATCCGATGTCCCAATCTGCTGCTTTTCCTACACAGCACACAAGCTCCCACATAGGCGCATCCTGCGGTATTACAGCACCAGCACCAGCTGCATGCTGCCAGCCATCGTGTAAGTACCAGTGTTGACTCCTGGGTGTGGAAAAGCCGGGGCAGCGCAGGAACAGTCCCTATGGAGTGTGCGTGTGGGAGTGACCAGGGCAGCTGTGGGCACAGGGGTCTGTAGGAACAGAGCACGGTGAGGGGAACCCCAAGGGGAAAGGGCTTGGACAGTGACTGCCAGGGATGCACAAGGATGTTACTGCAGGAGCTGAGGAGGCAGTGTAGGAAAAGGGATGAAATGGGGGAAATCATAGAATCACAGACTGGCTTGGGTTGGAAGGGACTTTAAATCTCACCTAGTTCCACCCTGCCAGAGGCAGGGACACCTTCCACTAGAGCAGCTTGCTCCAAGCCCCTGTGTCCAACCTGGCCTTGAACACTGCCAGGGATGGGGCAGCCAGAGCTTCTCTGGGCACCCTGTGCCAGCGCCTCAGCACCCTCACAGGGTAGAACTTCTACCTTAAATCACAGTGTAGTGGTTTACATCCAGCTGGCAACCCAGAACCATGCAGATGCTCTCTCACTCCCCCTGCTTCCTCCCCCAACTCCCTGAGGGATGGGCAGGAGAATGGAAAGAATGTGACTCCCACGGGTTGAGATAAGAGCAGTCCAGTAGCTAAGGTATAACACAAACCACTGCTGCTACCACCAGTAATAATAATGATAAGGGAAATAACAAGGGAAGAGAATACAACCGCTCACCACCTGCCGACTGATACCCAGCACGACCGAGCAGTGATCCCACCCTTCTGGGTAACTGCCCCCAGTTTATATAGTGGGCATGATGTGCTGTGGTATGGAATACCTCTTTGCCTAGTTTGGGTCAGGTGTCCTGCCTCTGCTTCCTCCCGGCTTCCCCTCCTCCCTGGCAGAGCATGAGGCTCAGACTAAACATTACTGAGCAGTAACTAAAACCATCAGTGTTACCACCGAAAGTCAAAACCACAGCACTGCGCCAGATACTAAGAAGGAGAAAAAAATGACTGCTACTGCTGAGCCCAGGACACAGAGACAGCCATTGGTTTCAGCATCAGTTTAGGGCATGTGGGAGAACCTCTTGCAGTGCCCCAAAGCTGGGATCCGGGATCTCCCAGGTGCAAGTTTGAGCTGAGATCTAATGTCTCATCCCTCTTCCACAGGTTCATCACAAAGAAAGGCCACCAGGTCTGTGCCAATCCCAGTCATACCTGGGTTCAAGCTTACCTGAAAAACTTGAACTGAGCAAAGCAAGATGGCAAGCATAGCTGCTGTCATGCAGGAGCTTCATTTTCCTGAGCTCCTGTGATGGAGCAGGACACTGGGGCAACAGAAGCTGCTGAGCCCATGTCACCTGCAGGCTACTACAGGGAACCACTGGAAGGGCACCACAAGACACCTTGTGTTGGGGTGCTGCTGCTTGCCCTTGGCCTGAGTTTGCAACCTCATCCATCTGCCCTGACCCCTCTGCCTGTGGCCTGGAATGGGCCGTGGGACTGCACCTCTGTTGTAACATTTTAAGTTATTTAAGAAATTGTCATATTGGATAGGCAGTACTTTCTTCTGTGGGTAATGATGCTATTTATGGGATAGTGGCAGGGAGGGTATTTGAGTGAGGGTGGCTCAGAGTCTCAGCATTGGATGATGAGTGGCCCTGGCTTATATGTATGAAATCATGATTCTGGAGAATAAAGAATTTAGACAAACCCTCTGTTTTTTTCCTTTTATATGCCTCTGTGTGGTGCTCACCAGCAGAGAGACAGAACCTCACCCTAAGCCTGTCTGCGCATTCTATATGGCATGTGATGATGGGAAATGGTTTGAGGCAAAACCATGAAGTTTCCATACTGCAGACACATGAACATCCTCTGACATCTTGTTCCCCACCACATACACCCCAGCCTCCCACATCCTATACAGAATTAGACATGTTTCTATGCACCGATGAGCCTCTTACATACATGAACATGCTGTACACACACCACAGGCATGTCCCATATGCTTGCATCAGTGTTCCCCAGCAAAGAGCCCACAGGCACCCACATACACACTGTCCTGCCCAGCCCAGCAGTGCTGCCAGGAGAGGGGCAGGGACCCCAGCTTTCTTTCTGACCGTCTCGATGGTGGTTGTTCCTGTAAAACAAAGGGAAGGGGTCAGCTATGCTGCAGGAGTAAAACAGCCACAGCAAACCTGCTGCAGACATTCCCAGGACACAGCTTTGCATGGGAACACGAATGGAAGGGAGCAGGTCCAAAGGGTAAAAGCACAGTGCTGAGCACAGCTTTCCCATTGCAAACGTGTTCAGCACTCCTGTGATTCTGCAGATTGAGAAGACATCCCCCAACAGCACGGTCACCTGAAGCTCGCCTGGCCTTGCAGCCATCCTTTTCTCCTCCTAATGCAAACAAAAACCTTTCTCTTATTGCTTCTTTTTTTCCCGGTAGCTATAGATCAGACTTGGCCACACTGAGGCTGGGAAAGCACTTGCATGTTGTCTTGTGATTTCCCTCTAGTCTTGCCTTTTCCAGGATGGAAAGCTGGCTGCAGGCAGGAGGGCTTACAGTGCACCTGATGAGTTTGCCTTCACAGCAAAGGGCAAACCCAGCCCAGGGCCCAGTGCTGTGTCCCAGGAGGTGATGCAGGTGAAGGGCCACCACGTGGAGAACCCCTGTTCCACGGAGATGGCTCTGCTGGGAGGGTGCTTTGGGAAGACACACTGACAACCCTGCAGGGTCCCAGCAGAAAAGGTCAGGTCATGCCCAAGCAGGGACAAGATGGGTCAGCGTACCTGGAAACATCTTGTACTGCTCCGTGGCCGGGGCTTACCATCCTGGGGCAGAGACTGAGACCTGCAGAGAGCCGTATCCTGAGCGGGCTTCTCCACTGTGCTGTGAAACACGGGAGCAGCCACTGCTGCTGCGTGGTGGGGTGGGTGGGCAGGAGGTGCTGCCCACGGGTGGACAGCAGGGAGCCCAGGAACAGGGTGCAGGGGGTCTCCTCTACCCCAAGAACGTCCCATTCTCTCCATGCCTGCTGCGCACTCCGTTGCTGTTTGGGCTGAGAAACCCAGTTTGATGCTGAGGAGGAACTGCAGGAACTGAAAACAGTCCCTGATCTGGGGTTCCGTGCACTGCGAGGGGACTGGGACGGGTGTCATGGTGGATGGGAGCGCTGCAGGGGTCTGAGGCGTGTCTGAGTCCCCAGGTGCAGGGACAGCCCGGAGAAGCTGGAACACTCAGCACTGCTGCTGGCTCTTCGGGCAGTCCCTGGCCAGGAGCCCAGGCACACGTGGGAATTTTCTTCTCCAGCCTTTCTGGTTTCAGTTTCCATCCTGAAGCTCCGGGATCAGCAGCCAAGCCAGCCTGCCCTAGAGGCCCTGCTCCCCCTGTCCCAGACCCACCTCCCCTGGCATAAGCCCACCAGTGCTTCCTTTTGGAACCAACCCTGGGACTTGTTGGGGTGTTATCTGGGATTGGCCATCACCCTGTCCTGGCAGGGAGAGATGCTTTCCAGGTGTTAGGAGGTGGTTGGGAAGGACCTGCCCATGCTGAAGCTGGGATGGGAGCAGAGGGAGGAGGAGAGGCTGCAGCTGCCCCAGCCCAGCTGAGGAAATGCTCCCAGGCGAGGTGCTTGGTGCACAGCAGAGAAATACCCAGGAGGTGCCTGCCCCAGGAGACACCAACCACATGCTCTGCAGTGGCCGCTTGGGTCTGCGGTCCTTGGTCCTTCTCCCTGCCTGCCGGAGCCAGCAGCAAGTTGAGGCAGAGCCAGGATTCTGACCCAGGGCCCGTCTCTGGTTTCCCAGAGCTTGGCCAGCTCCCTTCACACAAGACAACGGTCAAAAAAGGATATTCCCCAGCCTTGTAGTGACCACAAAGGTTTCCTGGTCCTCCCCACTTCCGAGCTTCGCCACCAGGAAGAAACACCAGGTCTGTGCTGACCCTGATGCCATCTGGGTGAAGGCATTTGTGAACGTTCTGGGGATACTGAGATGGCCACCCCCACCTGGTCCCCAGTGCTCCAGCTCTGGCCCCCAGCACATTCTGCTCCTCTTGCAAAGGAATGATTTTGGTGTCGTGAACTGCTCACTTCTCTCTTTACAGTCCTGTGGCCCCAAGGAACGCCAGCCCCATCAGCCCGCCTCACCCAGCTTGACCCCTCGATGACAAGCTTGTGCCTCAGTTTCCCAGTTGCAAGTGAGGGATAGCAATGCTTAAAGGCTTTCTGAGAAGTGCTCAAGCAGCCACTGTATGAAAGCAAGCCAACATGAGTACTGCTTGATTATTCTCATGTTTGGGAAGACCTGGCTGATTTTATATCCCTTCCCTGCTTCCCCTGAGGTCCAGGCTATATCCCGTGGTCCCTCTTGTCTCCTGCTCTGCCAGAGCTGCTTTGCAGGGTTGCAAACCAGAACCTTGTACCTCTTTTCTCCTGCTGAGCTACCTGCCCAGCCTGCAGAGCAGTTAGGCTCCTTTGAGAGCTACTTCGGGGTATTTCAGGTGTGCCGTTAATTGGTGATTGTCACCCTTTTAAAAGCAAGCCATAGGCTGATAAAGTGCTTTTGGTTTTGCAGTGCAAAAGATCTTTTATGCTTTTTCAAACCAAATTTGGGTTTCCTTCCCAAACCAGCTGAAGAACAGCAGATCATTGGTGCCTGTCTTTTTCAGCAAAACACTGACAAGAGTGTACCCAGAGCTGGGCACAGCTCAGGCTGCATCCCCAGAAGAGCCTGTGCTGGGTATGTGGTTCTGGCTCTCCTTTGAGCAGCGATGCTGCTGTATCCCCACCCTCTGACTTCCAGACATCCCCTTGCCAAATTCACAGTGGCAAATCCAGTGAGTCCAGCTCCACCAGCCCCTGGTCTTGGCTGCTGATAATATGGGGGGGGGGGGGGGGGGGGGGGAAGGGCTGGGGGAGAGTTCTGGGTCCGCAGGAGCATGGAGGCTGGGAGGCAACAGCCCCGGAGGTGCTGGTGTGGTGCTGGGGCTGCTGCTGCTGCTGTGGTGCTGGGAGCAGAGATGTGGTGCAGAAGGGAAAGTTTTCAGGGATAAGGTGGCTGAGGTTTTGCCTCTCTCAAAATGGTTGTAGTGGGGTCCTATTACCCCTTTTCCCCAGGCAGGAGGGGATCATCATCTTCCAGAGCTGACACACAGAGAGAAAAACATCTTTATTCTTTGGCACCAGCAGGAGACATTTTGAAATGAGGCTGAACAATGTGGTTCCACAATAAGCATCCTGTAAGTAACAAGCATACCATTTCCTCTGCCAGGGAGACAGATCTTGCTCACAGCATCTACCCTACCATAGCAAAGTTCAGCCAGCTGACTTGAAAGTCAGCCTAGGTTTACATGACAGCACTCACACTTACTTTCAACTGACCACTTCCCACAGATAGCTCTAGGGATAAACCCCCCTTCCATTCTAGCAGTGGAGGCATGAGGAAGAGACAGTTTAACCACATTACACAGCAGGCTATGCAAGATGGGTCTGCAAGGCCAGAAGGTCGCCAGCATCACAGCTGCCCATAAGGGTGTCTAAATTATTATGGGTAAATGGCACCTTTGCAAGACAGGAGGAACTTAAGGGGCCCCAAGATGGCTCCACAGGTCCTGGTATTCAGCAGCAGCATTTCTAGGTCTGTGCCAAGACTCTGCTGGATTGGGTTGCAGGACTTCTTCGAGGCAGAGACCTCTCAGCTCCCAGCGCTCACTGCAGCTCCAGGGTGTCCACATATTCCTTCACCCACCTGGCATCAGGGTTAGCACAGACCTCCCGGTCCTTCCTGGTGACGAACCTGTCAGGTGAAGCAGGGAAGTTTTATAGCCCTGGAGGGGCAATGGGACAAGAGGGCCTTGGGTCACCCCCTTCCCTTACTCCAGGTATGGTTCCTCACATCACTGTGACCTAGGCACCACTGGATCTGAAGCAAAGATCCCAAAGGCTGGCAGAACCTTTTCCCAGAGCCCAGAGCAGGAGCTGGTACGTACACGACTGCTGGCTGTGAGCACTTGCTGCTGGTGTAGAAATAATCCTTCACATGACTCTGGGGCAGCTTTCGTGAGGTGTAGCTGAAGCAGCACACAGTTGTGTCAGCCCCAACTGGAAGAGATCAGGAAAGCCAGCATGAGTCTCCCACTTAATAAACTGCACGTCCACCAGCTGAGAGCATGGGCAGCAGTCCCCTTAAATCAGCTCTGGAGCCCACTTCCTTTCTTGTTTCCTCAGAAAGCCAGCAAAGAACTGCTGTGAACACCAAAGCTTAATTAAAGTAATTGCTAGGATTGTGTGTAAAATGCCTTGCACTCACTTCCAATGATAAAAATCCTTTCAGTCCCCCTGGGACCACTCATAAAGCCCGACAACAAAATCAGGGGAGATGAAACCTGAAAACTTCAACACTTAGTAGTAAAATTCATCCCTAAGATAA